AATTGGTTTATGTTAAAGCTATAGCAGTATATATATTGGAATTTTTTTTTCTACTAGTAATGGCAGCGATCAGCGACTTATAGCAGGACTGCGGGACTATGGTGGGCATTCTGACAGTTGGGGGGGAACTGACTTGGTGTCACTAACATCCCCCAGTGACACCAATACAGTGATCAGTGCTAATAAAAAGCACTGACACTGGGCAGGAAGGGGTTTACATGTGGGGCAATCAAAGGGATAACGGTGTACTGTTTCACTGTTGGCTGTGTCTGTGCTTCATTGTAAGCACACTGCTTTGTATGGCTCTGCTATGCAGAGCCATACAAAGCAGTGTGCAGGAGCTGACAGTGGAGAGATATGTATTGTTTACATACAGCTCTCTCCCCCGTCGCAGATACTTGGAGATTACCGGGTGCCAGCAAGTAATCACCAGCCAGGACCCGATGATTGACAGCGAGGCCGCGAATGGCAGCACGGGTGGGGCGCAGGCGCGCCCCCCCGCCTGGAACTGCAACATTACGTATATATGTGATTTTGCACACCTGTGCCACCCTCTAGCAGTATTTCTGCTATAGGGTGTTGTGGAACTGGTTAAGACAATGTGGAAAATCTGCCCATGTGCCTCTTCATTCACGTTAGAAGGAACAGAGATCACAGCTGGGATTGAGCTTCGCAGGGGGCCAAGACCAGTTGCTATACCAATGATCTATTTATTGCCCCAACCTGAACCTTTAGTAAGGCAGAATATAATAATGCCCTTCACATGGGCAAGGGCTGTGAAGAGGACTTGCCAAGCAGGTGGAAGAAGGTACAGCAAGAAGAGACCACAGTCCAATATTTTCATCATTGTCCATATATAAAGTCATGTCACCATCCCCTGTTGCTGCTTGGCTAGATCTGTGTTAAACTATTAGTAACTATTCAGTAACTTGGAAAATCTACATGTACAGTCAGGCCCATAAATATTGGGACATCAACACAATTCTAACATTTTTGGCTCTATACACCACCACAATGGATTTGAAATGAAACGAACAAGATGTGCTTTAACTGCAGACTGTCAGCTTTAATTTGAGGGTATTTACATCCAAATCAGGTAAACGGTGTTGGAATTACAACACTTTGCATATGTGCCTCCCACTTCTTAAGGGACCAAAAGTAATGGGACAGAATAATAATCATAAATCAAACTTTCACTTTTTAATACTTGGTTGCAAATCCTTTGCAGTCAATTACAGCCTGAAGTCTGGAACGCATAGACATCACCAGATGCTGGGTTTCATCCCTGGTGATGCTCTGCCAGGCCTCTACTGCAACTGTCTTCAGTTCCTGCTTGTTCTTGGGGCATTTTCCCTTCAGTTTTGTCTTCAGCAAGTGAAATGCATGCTCAATTGGATTCAGGTCAGGTGATTGACTTGGCCATTGCATAACATTCCACTTCTTTCCCTTAAAAAACTCTTTGGTTGCTTTTGCAGTATGCTTTGGGTCATTGTCCATCTGCACTGTGAAGCGGCGTCCAATGAGTTCTGAAGCATTTGGCTGAATATGAGCAGATAATATTGCCCAAAACACTTCAGAATTCATCCTGCTGCTTTTGTCAGCAGTCACATCATCAATAAATACAAGAGAAGCAGTTCCATTGGCAGCCATACATGCCCACGCCATGACACTACCACCACCATGCTTCACTGATGAGGTGGTATGCTTAGGATCATGAGCAGTTCCTTTCCTTCTCCATACTCTTCTCTTCTCATCACTCTGGTACAAGTTGATCTTGGTCTCATCTGTCCATAGGATGTTGTTCCAGAAATGTGAAGGCTTTTTTAGATGTCGTTTGGCAAACTCTAATCTGGCCTTCCTGTTTTTGAGGCTCACCAATGGTTTACATCTTGTGGTGAACCCTCTGTATTCACTCTGGTGAAGTCTTCTCTTGATTGTTGACTTTTACACACATACACCTACCTCCTGGAGAGTGTTCCTGCTCTGGCCAACTGTTGTGAAGGGTGTTTTCTTCACCAGGGAAAGAATTCTTCGGTCATCCACCACAGTTGTTTTCCGTGGTCTTCCGGGTCTTTTGGTGTTGCTGAGCTCACCGGTGCGTTCCTTCTTTTTAAGAATGTTCCAAACAGTTGTTTTGGCCACGCCTAATGTTTTTGCTATCTCTCTGATGGGTTTGTTTTGTTTTTTCAGCCTAATGATGGCTTGCTTCACTGATGGTGACAGCACTTTGGATCTCATCTTGAGAGTTGACAGCAACAGATTCCAAATGCAAATAGCACACTTGAAATGAACTCTGGACCTTTTATCTGCTCATTGTAATTGGGATAATGAAGGAATAACACACACTTGGCCATGGAACAGCTAAGAAGCCAATTGTCCCATTACTTTTGGTCCCTTAAAAAGTGGGAGGCACATATGCAAACTGTTGTAATTCCTACACCGTTCACCTGATTTGGATGTAAATACCCTCAAATTAAAGCTGACAGTCTGCAGTTAAATTGCCAAAAATGTTAGAATTGTGTCGATGTCCCAATATTTATGGACCTGACTGTATACCGGTAAATTCTCTACATGTCACAATATTAAAAAAATACCAAAAAAACTTCTTGGTACGAAATCCTGTAGATAAAAAAAGAAACCGAACTGCTAGGTACGGCAAGGCATTGAATTCTTTGGGCACAGTAAGAGACCACACAGTAAAATACATATAACCATTTATTGACATAAAAGAGTCACATATCCATGATAGGACCCATAATACAAACATGCTCCTCAAAAGAGGAGACAAGAGCAAAACAAGTCATAGTTGAGCACAATGCCCCCCTCATGTATATTAAAAAGAAAATTACCACGAAGCACATAGTAACAACATGCAGTTATCAAAATACGGTCAATGCGTTTCGCCTGTACATTTGGCTTCTTCAGGACCGTAGCTTGAATATAGGGGAGAGTAGTGCTACTGCATATATAAAGAAAGGTGGTATATTTCTATATATTTCCTATTATAGGAATTCTTTATATTAGCACTGGCCTTTGTGTTCTTGATTGGCACACCTCAAGCTCTGGTCCCCTTTGTCCGCCCTCCAGACATCTATGCCGCCTATCTGTCTTCTCCACGTAAGCTCAGCTTTATTTCACATATATGTATCTTGTTGATCTTATGTACATTTGTATGTTTGTCTGTACATTTATTTTGTACTTTATATATGCAGTAGCACTACAATCCCCCATATTCAAGCTACAGTCCTGAAGAAGCCAAATGCACAGGCGAAACGCGTTGACCATATTTTGATAACTGCATGTTGTTACTATGTGCTTAGTGGTAATTTTCTTTTTAATATACATGAGGGGGGCATTGTGCTCAACTATGACTTGTTTTGCTCTTGTCTCCTCTTTTGAGGAGCATGTTTGTACTATGGGTCCTATCATGGATATGTGACTCTTTTGTGTCAATAAATGGTTATATATATTTTACTGTGATCTCTGATATACATCCTCACTTTGCAAAGTTAAAGTGTTACTAAACCCACAACAGTAAAATCAGTCTGTATATGCAGTAAAGCATGCTTGTTATACCGTGGGACCTAATGGGTTAATCTTCCGCATTGTGTTAAAAAAACAAAAGTTTTATCCTGTCTTCTCTGATCCTCCTCTTCTGCTGTCCACAAGCCATCTGCTTATAGTAGAGTCCCAGGAGACACTCTGCACTTGCTCAGCTTGATGTGTCCTGCTAGAGCTTTTTTTTTTTTTTTTGGGGGGGGGGGGGTGCATGCGATCAGCACAGGGCCAAACAGCACTGTCCAGAAAGAGGGTCAGGGATTATGCAGTCTCATAGGACAGTCAGAGGAGAATGAAAACTCCTCCTACCAGTGCTTGGGTTGGACACTGAAAGAAGTCACATATATTTAGCAGTTTATATTTACTAAAATAATTGCATTTCCATGTTCTGTGTACTGTGGGAGACCAGATATAGTGAATGCAGGGTCCGGGGAGAGCGGATATAGTGAATGCAGGGTCCGGGGAGAGCGGATATAGTGAATGCAGGGTCCGGGGAGACCGGATGTAGAGAATGCAGGGTCCGGGGAGACCGGATGTAGAGAATGCAGGGGCCGGGGAGACCAGATATAGTGAATGCAGGGGCCGGGGAGACCGGATATAGTGAATGCAGGGTCCGGGGAGAGCGGATATAGTGAATGCAGGGTCCGGGGAGAGCGGATATAGTGAATGCAGGGTCCGGGGAGAGCGGATATAGTGAATGCAGGATCCGGGGAGACCGGATATAGTGAATGCAGGGTCCGGGGAGAGCGGATATAGTGAATGCAGGGTCCAGGACCAGACCGGATATAGTGAATGCAGGGTCCGGGGAGAGCAGATATAGTGAATGCAGGGTCCGGGGAGAGCAGATATAGTGAATACAGGGTCCAGGGTTTAGTTTATTTAACATATATAAAGATTGTCTGATACCAGGTCCGCTTGAGGTCTTTGAAAGAGTTACTGATGTCAGCTGTTCTGGAAATCCTTGTCTGACTTATTTCATGTGGCAGATCTGCTCTGCGTCTGTGACAAGCCTCCAGGCTCTACTCGATTTTCAGATCATGACAATACAGGTTTTTACGCATCCTCCACAACGTAATCTCTCCCGACTGTGGCCAGTGAGGGGCAATGAACTGAGGGGGAGAAAATCTACAGGACAGAAGCCTGTCCTTGGTACGTTGCTCAGACTTCTCCAGTCTGTAAGTGGCCATGACTCTTAACCATCCGCATGTTTTATCCAGCAGACAGCCAAGCAAATGAGTATTCCTCCTGCTACACTCACCATAATTACACGCTCAGCAGCACGAGAGTAATAACCAAGGACACGGAATGGTTAGATCACAATGAGACTGAAAGACGTCTGATCATTCAGTGCGCCTGCTAAAAGTGTTCATCTGTTACAAACTTAAATATATTGATGTAATCAATGAACTGTGTAAACAGACACGCAGTATATCCTCAAAAGGCCACTGAACCTAAGCAAGCCCAGCCTCGAGTCTATTTCCAGAGCATAATATTCACAAATATTTAGGTCCCATAATAAAAGACATTGCCAGCAGTTTGAAATTCAAAGTGTTTCTAAACCCCGGACCCTGCATTCACTATGTCTGGTCTCCCCGGACCCTGCATTCACTATATGTGGTCTCCCCGGACCCTGCATTCACTATATGTGGTCTCCCCGGACCCTGCATTCACTATATGTGGTCTCCCCAGACCCTGCATTCACTATATGTGGTCTCCCCAGACCCTGCATTCACTATATCTGGTCTCCCCGCACCCTGCATCCACTATATCTTGTCTCCCACAGTACACACAACATGGAAATGCAATTATTTTAGTAAATATAAATGGCAAAATACCTTTTCTCATCAGCAGTTAAAGCAGTCTTGTGACTTCTATCAGTGTTCAGCAGAGCACTGGTTACAGCTTGTAGGAGGAGTTTTCTTTCTCCTCTAGGAGGATGCAGAACCCCTGACCTCTGTCTGGACAGTGCTGATTGACCCTGAACTGATCACATGCACTCTCCCAAGAAAAAAAACAAAACAAAATAACCTCTCTAGCAATACACACCAAACTGAGCATGTGCAGAGTGACTTAACATGATATGTCTTATCAGGAGATAAGAGGGGGGCACTGGAAGAAGGGGAGGATCAGAGAAGTCAAGATCAAACAGTCTTTTTACGCAATGCAGAGGATTAACCCCTTAGGTCCCACGGTATAACAAGCATGCTTTACTGCATAAACAGACTGATTTTACTGTTGTGGGTTTAGTAACACTTTAATGTTACGAATTTTAATCCCCCAGCTAGCTGCAATTATTTAAGATCACCCACAGGCTCCAGTATTTCTTCCTTGGAAACATAAGAACTGAAGCTGGAGTTCAGGTCTTCCTAGATATCCTAGCTCAGGGGTAAGCAACTTTGGCACTGCAGCAATGGTGAAACTACAAATCCCATCCTACCTTTGCATGCAGGAGTCATGCTTGTAGCTGGCAGTCTTGCAGTACTTGATGGGGGACTCGTTTCACCACAGTTGGAGTGCTGAGGCTGCTGACAACCTTCCTAGGCCACTGCTCCAGTGAATGCCCCACTGCTTTTCCTGAAGGTCTCTACAGATCCTGCAGTAGAAGGAAAGGCATCCCGGCACTGCAGATCCTCTTCTTTGGCATGATGTCTGTGCAGGCGTAAAGATTTTGACAACACTAAGACCAATTACGTGATTGTAGAAAAGGTAATCCTTCCATCTTAGCTGCAAAGGAGGAAAAGGTAATCTCTACATCCTAGATGTAAAGGAGGTATTTGCAGTTCAGCATATTGGCTTTCAATGCAGTTCCCAGCAGTGAAGAAGGAAACATCTGTCCCTGAACATATTCCATTCAAAGTGTTACTAAACCCACAACAGTAAAATCAGTCTGTATATGCAGTAAAGCATGCTTGTTATACTCACTGTGAAATCCAAGGGGTTAATCCCCTGCATTGTGTAAAATCACTGTTTGATCCTGTCTTCTCTGCCCCTTCTCTTGTTCAAATGTCCACATCTTATCTCCTGATAAGACAGACTGAACCCGTAGCCACATGCACATGCTCAGTTTGGTGTGTATTGCTAGAGAGGTTTTATTACTTTCTTGGGAAAGTGCATGTGATCAGACAGGGGCAATCAGTGCTGTCTAGACAGAGGTCAGGGGTTCTGCATCCTCCTACAGCAGAAAGAAAACTCCTTCTACAAGCTTTAACCAGTGCTCTGCTGAAGTCACAAGACTGCTCTAACTGCTGATGAGAAAGGTATTTGGCAGTTTATATTTACAAAAATAATTGCATTTCTGTGTACTGTGGGAGACCAGATATAGTGAATGCAGGGTCCGGGGAGACCAGATATAGTGAATGCAGGGTCCGGGGAGACCAGATATAGTGAATTCAGGGTCCGGGGAGACCAGATATAGTGAATGCAGGGTCCGGGGAGACCAGATATAGTGAATGCAGGGTCCGGGGAGACCAGATATAGTGAATGCAGTAGCCACCCTCTAGAAGGAAGTCAGATTACAGCAGCAAAAGGAATATGGAGATTTGGAGGAGGCCGAACACAATAGAAGGGGCTTTTTTTTTAAATTAATCCATACTTTAATAGAATTGTTTTATTTTAAACCAGAGTTTGGGGTCACGGTAACATAACCTTTACAATGAAGTCTCATATACATTGGCATAGCTTTAATCCTCGTGTATTTCTGCCTTCTTTTTAGCCAAAAAAGAAAATGCAAGACATTGACAGACTGGTATTATATTTTATTTATTGCACTTTGAAGCTTCCCTGCCACACACACCAAGAAGCCGAAGAACAGTTTACCGAATCTCATATTGGAGCTGATAAAATATCTTCTTTCTAGAAAAGGAACTTGATTTACAGATTCAAGTCTTAATTCTCAATAGATCCTCTAGAAGCAGCAAACTTTATACAGTGAGAAACCATTTCTTTTTTAGCAAATATAATATATATTCTCTTATAAGACAACCAAAATATACAGTATACAGCTTGCACATTGCAGTGATGGGTCTATGTACACAGTAGTGGCCAGTGCAAGATTTATCAGCAGCAAAATGTGGAGGGTGGGTATGAAGGATTAAGGGAGTGCTGAAGTGTCAGTCCACCCAAACTAGAGTCAAGGGTGTCAAACTAGCAGGATAACTCACCCACCAGTTTTCTCTCTCCAGAAGTGTCATTTTCTTGCCTGAGTTCCCAGCTTTGGGTGGAACTGGGAATTTAGGGGCAGAGATATCTATGGAATAAAAAAGGTGGCAAGTAAAGTGGTATGCTAGTTAAAAGCTTTGGATGGAGCAGGAACGGATGCATCATTGTTTAATTGTGGTGTCACCATTTTCCTTCATTTCCAGGGTCCATATGTCAGAATGACTCAATAAAGAGCAATAAAAATATCACTAGTTGGATGGAGATGACCTTGAACCTCTGGCATTTTTTTTTTTTTTTGTTGACTGTGACTTTTGAGGTGTACCTCAAAAGCAGGTTAGAAAGTCAAGGGAAATTTGTCAGAAAAGAACACATAGCAACAACCAGTTGTGAGGTGCATCCAGGGTGGACTGGGCCAAGGGGCAAATGCACCCTGGACCACTCCGATGCACCCCGTAAAAAGGCTGCACTGCTTCTGCCCAGACATACCCAAGGGTTTCCTGGTAAAGAGCAACGAAAAGTCCCATCCGGTGTCCAACCGAGTGCAAGATGAGAACACAGTACAGCCTGCCCCCCCCGCACAGATTGCGTATGCCATGTCTGAGCACAGGCCTGCTCCGTGTTCCACCAGAGGCTCTCCTCCCCAAGCCGGACCCAACCGAGTCACCCCGGCTCCCCTCTACCCGGCCCGTTCGGAGTCGGTGCAGCAGCTGTCCATGCTGAGCCGCCCATTGAGCAGAGAGTACCTGGAGCAGAACTTCAGCCTGGGATGAGGGTCAGGAGAAAGCAGGGAAGAAGGAGAGCGGAAGGGGAGCCGAGTTGCTGCACCATAGGCCTCTGAGTTATACTTACCCCCCGGGCCAAAAGTTGCCAGTCAGTCCTTAGGGAACAATCTCTAGTCCATTCTCATTCTCTTCCAGTTTACGGGTCCTTGATGGAGAAAGTATTCTAAACCCTCAAAACACATTGACTGGAAAACATTAATTCTATTTAGAATTTTTGTATGGAGTAAACACTCTACAGCAATACAAATCTGACGTTGCTGCACACTGTCTTAGTAGTTAGCACTTCTGCCTTGCACCACTGGGGTCAGAATCCTGGTCAGGACACAGCTGCATGGAGAATTCATGTTCTCCTTGTGCTTGAATAGGTTTCCTCCAACACTCCAAAGACATGCTGGTAAGTGGTCTAAATTATCCCTACTAGGTGCGTGCATGTGATGTTGAGACCTTGGACTGAAAGCTCCTTGAGGGCAGGGACTGATGTGAATGAACAGTATGTGAATCACTGCAAAATATAAATAAATGTCTGTAATAAATCTTCTAATACTCGTTAAAAGTGTATATGTATGTGTTGGCGTTCCGCTTCAGCTTGTCCACATTTTATAATACCAGAGATCATTTTTGGGTGGACTGACTCTTTTAGTAGACCTAACATGAAAGAAGTAATGAATGAATCCATTACCCACCATTGTCCTCCTTCTGTGCTCCTCACTCACTACAATCAGATCAGTAGTGTTACTTCTCAGCATCATTCTGTGCTTCTCTTCTGTTCCGGGCGCCCATTATAAACACACAGTGTGCTGCACAGTTTAACCGGAAACATGGACTAACCATTATTAAAGTCCCATTAACATAAAGGAAGTTATGACAGCATGGGAAGATGGAGTCTGGTGTGCTTGCATGGGATGTCCCTTGCTATAGAACTCCAGCTAGGCACATAAGGATGAGGATGTGTAATCCCACCAGGTAGGTGAGGAAAACATAGCGAGATTTCGATCTGGAAGTCAACAGCTTCGAGCAATAGATGCTTCGACCGCGCAGCCATCTCCGTATGGATAGTGTTCCACCTTTGATCTAGAAAAGCAAAACGATATAGACATTTGAGCACTAAATTGTTGGCTTGGCAACACAATGAAAAAGAAAATAAAAACAAATTATATATATATATATTGTAATAGTACCTACATTCTACTAAAAACATAATGCTGTGAGGGTAAGGTACAAACAAACGGCATTTGAATTTTCCATCGATAAAAGTTGAAGGTATTCTGGAAAGGCCAAGCTTAAAGTATGTCTATAGGTAAACCTTTTGTCTCTTTTACCATTTTGGCTGGGATAAGGAAGGGTTACAATTTCTGTCATGGTTTTATTACTGCCTTCACGTTGGGGAAATTCATCCCTCATTTTGTCCCGGTAACAGAATTCCCATGTCAAAACGCAGTAAATCAGTGGTTTTTGGACTTTTTTTTTTTTTTTACTACAAAAATAATTATTTTTTAGGTAAAAAAAAACACAAAAGCAGCAAAACGCCACTAATATAAAAACGCTGAAAAAAACCCATGTTTTTAATATGACTTTACACAGCTAACGTTACCAGCGTTATTAAAACGCCCCAGCTTCATGGAGCCTGAGTAAAAGCTAGATTGGGATGGGACTGAACCTGTGTCAGGTTTTTACTGCTGTTTGTGTGACCATTTGGGAGCTTATGTATTATACATGGAGATCATATCCCCCCTTATGTATTATACATGGAGATCATATCCCCCCTTATGTATTATACATGGAGATCATACCCCCCCTTATGTATTATACATAGAGATCATATCCCCCCTTA